ACTACCCTTGTTCGATAAAGTGAACCTTTCGTATTTGAAATAGCTTGAATTATCCAAGAATGCAGTTTCAGGGATTACCCCCTATTATTATTTCACGTGACAAAATATTCGTAGTATCAAAAATTATGCAAAAGGGGATCAGTCTACGTATACTATGTAAACAGTGTTGTATTCATTGGGATTATGCGCTGATTAGTCATATCGAGATACACACTTGATAATTATTAACTGTGCTAATGGGAAAACGTGATGAACTATTACTCTCCTTATCATATACCTAAACTGAGTAAACCAGATATAGTGATAACATTAAATATTGCAAAAATCCTATTTGTACAATAATTGATATAGTATCCCGTACATTGTTTCTGCACATGATGTCATCAAAGAAATATTTGAGCAGCACACAACAGCTGGTCGCATTTTCTCAAATATAAGAGGTTTGTTCAAAAAGTATCGCGAATTTCATGTTTTCTACTATTTATTTATTTATGAATATCTATTTTGTCCTCTTCAAAGTAATCCCCATCAGACTTTATACACTTGGGATAACGTTTTTTCCAATCCTCGAAGCATTTTGAAAAATCATTTTTTGTGATCTGGTTCAGCTCCTCCTTGCCGTCTTTATCTCTTCAAGCAGCTTTTTGGGCTTTTATTATTATTATTATTATTATTATTATCAATATACTGAGAATGTTATTCGAAATACCATGAAATAAAAATGCCACTTTTCCATCATCTCCCAAACATGTTCAATGGGTCAAAGGTATAGCGATCTAGGAGGCCAATGACGGCATAGCGGTATATCCAGAAAATATGTACTGTGACCTCATCTTATGCTATATGCCCAAAACTACTTTCCAACAAGATCATGCCCGCTCCATATTACTCAGTTTACAATGGATTGCTCAACTGAAAAAATAATTAGAGATAAATACGTTTCTTACATCACTTGTACAGTGGTTATTTAAGATACAGATTTCGATATAATCCTTTTTTTATACCTTATAATAACGCATTTATCTATATGTCTGGAATTACTTTTAATTTATAAAAGTTTTCAGTTTTACAATACCTAAAAACTACATAAGAATCTTGACTTTTTTTAAACTATAAATATAGCCCTCTAGAGCATTTTGCGGTACAAATCTGATGTTTTAAACAATTACACTATTGTAAGAGTGAGATAGTGCAAAGCAAACTATAATTATCATGATAAGGCAGTTTGATTCAGCTATAATATAATCAGTATGATAATTTAGAAACGTGCTATACAGTACTTTTGTTTAATACGTAAGATAGGCACGTATTCTCTGTTACTTCTGATATTGCACACCGTTATGGCGCCTCATATACAGGGTGTCCGCAAAGTTGGGGTTTTCCTTTACACGACGTGTAGATCTTGAAAACATAAGCAATTTTGCTTAGTACCATATACACCAATGTCTTAAGGGAACCGAGATAAAGGGCTCTGCAACATCAAAAATATCTGAATACCGTCCTGTAGCCGCGATATCCCCGACTGGCACTAGGACACTAGCTCAACCCGACGACAGAACTGGGTCGGGGTCAGTGTGTCAGGTCAGTATGCAACCCTCAACCGACGGTTACGGTCATGCGTGTAGAGGTGAACGAACCCGTATAATCGATTCCGTTTAAAAAAACAACAAGCACTAGAGACGTGGCTAGAGAAGTGCAAGTATCAAAAACTAAAGTGTGGCAAACGCTGCGTGAAGAGGGGCTGTATCCGTTTCACGTCCAACGTGTACAAGCCCTTCAACCTGACGATTTTCCAGCAAGAGTGCGGTTTTGTGAGTGGTTGTTGCATCAACATGACAATAATCCGGACTTTTTGAAGAGCATTTTGGTGACAGACGAACCTACGTTCGCGCGTAATGGGGTGAATAACTTTTGCAACACTCATGTTTGGTCAGTAGAAAATCCGCACGCTGTCCGTCGGGCACATTTTCAACAAACATTTTCGGTGAATGTTTGGGCTGGCATGGTGAACGGTATGCTCATTGGACCATTTATTCTCCCAAATCGATTGGACGGGATGCAATACCTAGACTTTTACGCAACATTTTGCCTTCCTTATTAGAAGATGTGCCATTAAGTGTAAGACAATCAATGTGGTTTCTGCACGATGGTCATATTTGTTACGTCTGTTCGTGGTCTGCACCATCGCCGGCGTCTGCTCGGTAGCGCATCAGTTGATTTCATTTTCTGTTGGAGCGGTATGATTTCGGGCAGAGACGTACTTAGCCCTTCTCGTCAACTGGAGAGTGAGTACTTTTTCCTTTAATTTTTTTTTACTTGGTCGCTCTCGTTTCACTACACATTACCTTTGTTATTTCAAGGGTAGTTGTTTCTGAAAAGGAAAACCCCAACTTTGCGGACACCCTGTATATTACATATACTCGTAGCGATGCAGTATCATGTATCAGCAGATAATGAGCCAAGTAAAATATATGATAGCATGATGTTCTGATAATATGCAGATTTCAATTGTTGCATTGGGAATATCTGAAAAATAAAGACTTTTTTTAATTATTATTCTAACAACTTGTTTTAAAATAACTGATAGTTCAAAAACTGAGAAAACACACTTTAATAGCAAAAAATTGAAAATAAAAAGTTCAGGAGAGTTTGTGTTACTGGAATAGGAACTCCAATAATCAAATATGACTAATTAATTTGGAATAAGATCAGTATAAAAATTAAGATATCAACAAAAAATTCAATTCTAGCGAAGATCATGTGGTGCTTTATATTATACTAAGTGACATATAAATCCGAACACCCAGCTTAAATGGTTTCATTTTAATAAAAGTTGGTGAATGTATTTATCTTACTGTAAATAACAAGTGAAAAAATGTTCAGCCTTATCAGCTGGACATTCCGGTTTTTATACTGCTTTTTTTTAATTCACTAACGCTCTAAAAATGAATATTTCAGCCGCAGTAAAGAATCAACGTTGGCGCATTTTGGTTCTTGACATCCTTTACGATCGGTTACAATGCCTAGAGTACGGAGACCTGTACGATTTCGTCAACTTAGTGAGTTTGATAGGGGCCGTATAGTGGGACTTCGGGAAGCTGGACTTTCTTTTCGGGCAATTGCAGTTAGAGTGCACAGAAGTGTAGACACTGTGGTTAGGTGTTGTCAGGCATGGCTTCGAGAAGGCCGTACGCAAAGAGCAAGGGGCACTGGACGCCGCCGTAGAACAACAGACCGTGAAGATCGCCGCCTAAGATTATTGGCCTTAAGGGACCGTTTCTCCACTACCAGGTCCATTGCAAATGAATGGTTTGCAGAACACGGAAGACCTATTGGCATGCGAAGTGTTTACCGACGAATGAGAAGTTTTGGCTTGTTTTCATACCGGCCACACTGGGTCCTCCCTTTAACTCGAGAACACCGACGTAATCGCCTTGAGTGGTGCAGACAACGGTCACTCTGGGATCAGGAATGGAACAGTATTGTCTTTAGTGACGAGTCTCGATTTTGTTTAGGCATGCACGATGGTCGTGCCAGGGTTAGAAGGCGACGTGGTGAAAGGAGGAATCCACAGTTTCTTGTTGAAAGGCATGTTCATCACACTGTTGGAGTTATGGTTTGGGGTGCTATAGCTTATGGTTCCAGGTCACCGTTAATCTTCATCAGAGGTAACATGAACGCGCAGCGTTATATCCACGAAGTTCTAGAACACCATCTTTTACCCTATCTTGACACCCTGGCAGATCCAACTCTCCAACAAGATAATGCCCGACCACATGTTGCAAGAGTCACAATAGACTTCTTTCAACATGATGATGTCACATTGTTACCATGGCCATCAAGATCTCCCGACTTATCCACAATTGAGCACGTGTGGGATATGATGGGTAAGAGATTGCTCAATTTGCAACGTCCTCCTCAGACTCTAGAAGCACTTTGAGAGGAGTTGGTGGTTGCCTGGAATGAGATACCACAGGAGGACATTGACCACCTGATCAGAAGCATGCCTAGGCGCGTTGGAGAATGCGTAGCACATCAGGGTGCATCCACACATTATTAAAGGTCAAAGGGTTTTAAAGCAGTGCAATCATTTTGAAATTTTTATCATTTACTTATTATGCTTCATTAAGTGCTTATACAAAATTTTATTAAAATAAAACCATTTAAACTGGGTGTTCGGATTTATATGTCACTTAGTATATATATTAGTTGCTATTTACAAAATTGGAGTTATTAAGAACATATAGTTAATTGCACCACATGGTCTCCTACTATAGTTGAACTTTTTGTTAATATCTTAATTTTTATCTTAATCTTATTCCAACTTAATAATTTATACTTGATTTTTGGACTTTATAATGCAGTAGCACAAGCTCTTCCATACTTTGGAATTATTTTCTACTTTTTAGATGGATTTGCTATTAAAGCGTGCTTTTTGAGTTTTTTACACAATAATTTAAAAGTTTGTAGTCCCAGAAGAACTGCAATCAAGAGCTTCGCTTTTTGATAAATTTTAACATTTGCAACTCATCCGGTAATTTACATGTCGGCAATTTTTAACCTTGCTTGGTAGGCTAACAAGAGGCGATATTTTGATTTTCGAAGACCGCACGAAAAAATATAAAATATAGAAAACGAAGTAATTTTGAGCTACTGCCTTATTAGCAACTTTTACATAAGCTGACTTTGTGCCTTCATTGGAAATATTTTGTTAGAACACGTTTTGTGTGATTTGCATATTTCAGGTGAAAGTGTTAGATTTTCTTATATGAAAAACGCCTGTCTTTTTTTGGAAAACATACCGATGCTAATGCTTCAACATCATATTACTTGCATATTATACATTTCCCCAATCAGTCTCATCAGTGTGCTTATAGCTAAATTTAACATTTTATTTTCCTATGAACTTACTGCTCTAGCTTGGAAATAGCATCGAGCGCAAAAATGCTTCATTAATAGTTTAGGTGGCAATACTAAATGATTATTCTGTTTCTTTTCAGATCGCACCTACTAGGCAAAGGATGATGGTACTAGGGAAATTCATTTTAGTAGCATTTATTGCAGAATTTACGGTAATAGTAAGTATGGAATTAGTGTAGCCAATTTTAGTAGTACATAGACTGTTCTACGGCCAAGTAAAACCTCGTAACTATGGGATAACTAAAGGATGGCTTTACATCAAAAAGTCTAAAAGTAATACAGATACTTAGCAATTCCATGGGCATCACTGATAGGTTCTTATGTTCACAAAGTTATACACCGCATCTGTCAGACTTACTTCCCACGCCTGCTGGCGAGGAATTATTAAAATCGCAAAAAATCGAAAATGAGGTATTATGTTTTTTGGATGTTATTATAACATGTCAATTACGAAAAATCATGTCAGCCATTTTCGTTGAGTCCTGCTCGGATTTGGATGAAATTTCTACGAAAGGTTACTACTATAAAAAACCTTTGTAATTTTGGTAAATGACTCCAACGGCAGTGGAGAAAATGGGAAGAAACAAGATATAAAAATCGCCAAACTTCGGTTTTTGACGATCCTGATCATTTTTACATAAACGGATTTTTTTAGCGGCAGTATGGATATTAATATGTAATTCTATTCATCTATTAGGCATATTTGATACATATATTACCACGTATACAAAGATACTCTTGTGTTTCTTGTATAGAGTGCATTGTTTTCGTAAAAATAAAAAAAAATTAGATGATCAAAGCTTTATTTCAATAAATGTTCAAAAAGACCATACACGGATACAAGTGCGGCATCTTTTTAATAAAGGAAAATATATTTCCGCAAAATTTGTTGTGGCTTGAATTTGATAAAACGCATTATCTATTCTTTCTTGTAACTCATCAACAGTATTAATTTGTTCAGCATACACTAGTTGCCTAAAAGCGCCCCACAAAAAGAAATCCAGTGGGTTCAAATCAGGAGACCTCGCAGTCACTGTCGCACCAGATATTTCTAGAAAATCTGGGTTGAAACGAGTGAACTCTCACAGAACGGGGATTTTCTAACGACCAAATATGTTCATTATGAGAATTAAAGGTTCCAGTCCTTGTAAAAAGCGGTTCATCTGACCACAAAACCAAATCAATAAAATCTGCATTTTGATTATGCATTTGCAGTGACCATTCACAAAAATTTCGCCGTTGCACTTCGTCGCCGGGTTGCAGATATTGCACATGTTGCCGATGGAACATGGTAACTGGGCTGCAATTAGCCTAGTACTTGTACTAGGATCATCCAACGCGAAATTAATCACTTCCAGTATGCCGGACACCATAGCCTCTAACTCCGGGAACTTTGGCAATTCCATATTGTCGAAGTCTTAGAAATGAACGAAGAAAAACGTTTGGGGTAGGTTTAGGTTGACGTCTGTAATGAAATCTACGTTGATACTCCCGAAAAACCGCTAAAGCATTTCCATTACAGAACTCGTGCACAAAAATAATATCGGCGTACTCATCACTGCTAAATTCCAACTAACAACATTCAAAAATAAACTTTTGATTTAACTTTTACAAAAAACAAAATGGTAGTAGTACCCGTATAACACATACATTTGACAAACTAACTCTCAAGATGTGTCAAGTTGGTATCAAGGCCTCCTACTCTATTTTGAAACTAATTTTTACGAAAATAGTGCACGCTAGAAAAAATATAAGAGAAATCATTTGTAGCAGATTGAAGGTTACGAAAAAAAAAACAGTGGCGTACTATTTTTATTTGGAAAAATAATGCCACTTATCCCCTGTGTCTCAGTCACTGTTGCACGTTAATTTTAAAGACTTCTGAATGTGGACAATATTTAGGTAAATCCACATACCCTTTTTTGTTCATTCCAGTGGACGGTTTTGAAGATATTAAAAAAAATTGTTTATTATTTTTAAACTTCAACACCCCGTATCTTTTTAATGAAGCCCTCGAGGAAAAAATGTTACATAGAAGACCCCCTTAAAATGCGGTCCTGTGTATGATGTTGCATTTTTGGTCACGACTTTAGCCTTAAGACTGAGATAAATATTTCTATTTTGCTTACAAAGTAAAGTGAACTGGCCGCTACTCGCTCTCTGGCGAACATCGACGCGACGAATTTTTACCTGAAAATCTCAGAGGATTTTCAAGATGTCCTGGCGATGTAACATTTGTGACTACCAGGGAAAATAATTTATTGTAAAATAAAGTATAGTAACTTTTCTTCCAGCAAATAATACTAAGACTTACCAAACTTATCCTTGATTATAAAAAAAGAGAATTAAGCTCAAAATACTTTTTCTCATAATATTCATTATATTACATGACCAACTGAAGTGTTTCCAAAGCCAACTAATAGTGAACCTACCAGAGCGTAAAAAGTTGATCCATCATCTATATTCAGTCTACTGCCTTATGCCAGAGTTCAAGGCGGCAAACATATGATGCATATACAAAATCTGTCCAGAATTACGTGGGAAGTACAGTCAACCTGCTTGACGCCATTTCTGATGTACAGTTAGCAATAAAGTTTTACGTTAAGGTCCAAGAACTTAAATATTCCCAAAACTTTGAAGAACCTTTTAATTTTGATATTGAAGAATTTCGTCCTTTTTCTGCATTTCCTACAACACCGAAAACGTTATATTCCTTCATAAGAGAAAAAGTTGGCCTGGCGTCCCAGTTTTCGCAGCATATAACGCATCTAGAACGCCCTTAAAAAATATTGATCGCATAACCACGAGAGGTTGTTAAACACTTTTCACGCCATTAATCAGACCGACTCTATCGTACTCAAATAGTTAAATACAGTAACTTCACCTTCAAGCGCAGAATCCGAAGGTAATGAAGACATTATTGAGAAAAACCATTTGTAGCTAACTTTTCATTTTAGGTGGATGTCCGTTTTATCGTTATGAACATCGACACATTCACCATTTATTGAAATCTAGTTGTGTTACACTCTCACCATTTATTAGCATCGAGTGGCGAGGTATCTATCTGTTGGTTAAATACGAGTATATTGATTAACAACATCGCTAAGTATTAAAAAGCTCATAAAAGACAAAAGAATTTGCATTGTAAATTAATGTAATATATGAGCACAACATTTACTTTTTGAGTGTCAAATGGAACATACAAACAAAAAAGAGTTACCCCAAAAGTTGAACCGCCTGATATCACGTTTAACCCATAGGAATGCCTTGCTGTTTTATTGTAAATATCACATTTTATGATATTTCTGTTGAAGGTAGGCGCAGTTCGCCAGAAGCGTAGCATTGACTTGATTGCTGCTCACAGCCTCATATCTCAGGAGCGATTGCCAACTGACACTGCTCCATCAGGATACCATCTGTTCCTGAGGCCGGACTTTGAAAGCGGTTACTTCGAAGGCTATGTTGTGATCAACGTCACTGTGCAGCATAAGACTTATGAAATCGTACTGCATGCTCACAAGGATTTGCAGATTGAGCTGAAGAACGCCACTCAAGTAGCTCCTGATGACGAGGAACTGAAAAAGTAAGATATCTATAGGATCATAATTTTCTATTTTCGTTTAATTTTCTGTAGTAGGACTGTATTTCTTCTACTTTCGGCAAACGAACTAAGCCCAGGCAGAAGCCATCTTTGCCAGAGATCGGCCATCTATCGAAACTGAATGAGCGCTAGGATGCTTTTTGTTCGTCAAGGTACAGTACTGTGTTTTGGAAGCAAATTTGTTGCGTCCCCAAACAGGGATAACCGACAGGTCGTTCGTCAGAGAGGAAGTCGCTTGCAGCCTTCTTTTTTCCAGCTCACCGGCAGAGATCGGCTTGTCGCTCTGAATTCCTGTATGTGGAGTGCTGTCATCAGCAAACCTGTGGTTTGGATTGATCGTGCATGTCAGACTTCAGCTGGCTACTCTACCTGTTGCTGTTATTACTCTATTATTTTTTGTGTTCTACAAATAAATTGTGCATATGAGAAAAGATAGATCGCTTATCCTGGGACCCTCTAGTTATGACAGGATTATACGTGCAGCATAAGGAGCTCAAATAATGGTTGACCCTGCACTTCCTATGCAACGATATCGTCCATTTATAAAGGATTATATGCGGAGAAGTTAGTCCGTTTTAGAAAAACACTGGCTACGAACATGTAAAACAAAGGAGTTAAATGGATCTTATAATAGTGATTGCCACAGACTTGACAACATTACGATCTAGCCTACCACCCTACTGACAGTACCGACCACCCAGTATAAAAAGTTTTAATTGGAAATGTACGGGGAAATATATGATGTGTTAAATGTCTAATATGGTTCATATTACTACCAGAGTTGGAAATGAATAAATTGCTAGCACCAAGACCCCTATAACCCCTATAACCCCCAAAATCTAATGTTTACCACATAAGTTTTCTGGAAATGATAATGATCCTCTTAAATGTCAAAAAACAAATTTGAGCGATTTTTTTCCATTTTTTGACCTTTTCCTCCATCGTCACTGGACCGATTTTAAAGAACGATAAATATTTTTCGTCCGTGGAATAGCAACAACCCAAAGAGAAAAATTCATTAAAATCCGATCGCTACTTACCAAGTTTTAGACGGGTCACGGATTAACGGAGAGATTGACAGACAGACGGACAGACCGACGGAAATGACTGACAAACCTATAATCTCGTTTCCGAAATTTTTCACGATTACAATACTTCCTCTCCAGTGGCGTATGAAGTAAAAAATCACTGTATTTGATAATGAGTCTATTATATATTTATAAATGGTCAGTCATTTTAACAAGCTTGTGCTAAAATGGCTGTTTCAATTACAGGAATTCCACTGAAGCGGATGCCTTCAAACCTCAGCTGCTCACAATAGAAAGTGCTGAAAAGGTGAAGAAGAAACCTTTATACCAGATATCATTTGGCAGTCCTATTAAACCTGGCGCTCAACTTCAAGTCTACATTCAATTTTCTGGACCACTGTTCAATGACACATCGGAAGGTTTCTTCAGAAGTAGGTTGGTAGTGTTCTCAGGAAAAGGAATATCTGAACCTTAAATGATGCAATATGACCACAAGGAGCATTACTCCTTATTGTGCTCTATATAATGCGGAATGCCATTTTTGGCACCCTAAGCAAGCTATAAATATAGCTTAGCATATTTTTCCGAGGTGTCTCTAGTGAAGTTTTTGATTTTTTCCGTATCTAGTTTGTATCTTTTAGCAAATTTTTCCAAAATTGCCTTCAGAACTTAAAAAAAGGTAATTTCAAATCCTACAAACACCTGCACAGTTTTAAATCTTTCTATGAGAAGAAAGATTGGCAATTATTTATTAGTATCAAACATGATAAGAACAAATCACTGGACACTGAGAATCGATACAATCAACAGAAAAGCATTTGGATAGTGAACTATGCTTTAATATGAAATAGCAGCCTCAACTTTGAATGATTGTGTTTATATGAACAAATTTGTAGACATCTTCAAAGAATTTTATCAATTTATTACTCAATAACAGAAGTTCCAAATACTTTTAAGCTATATCTATTTCTATTACCTAACCTGAGAAAATGAGTTATGGGTTCATTCGAACCATAATTTGTTTGACGAAAAAGGACAAAGAAAGTATCAACATGTCATGTGCACTTTAAGTGAGTCTTTTTCTAAGCGTTGAGGACAGTCAGTGTGACCATTGATAATTTTGTGCAAGAAAATTAAGTCAAATTCCACTATATTTCAATATTTAAGATAAATAATAATTTTGGGTCAAAAATAAGTTCCATGTCCTTGACCCTGTCAGTAGTGTGAAAAGATCGACCATTGATGCTATAAGAATGAATCATAATATTATTTATAAGTAAATCATTCACTATACACCAATGAGAGATAAGTCTCTTCGCAGCAGTTCAGCATCAAGTGTGTTCCCGATAACTCTAAAAATCTCAATATAACTCGCAAATAAAGGAATCACGAATCTGTTTTTTTTTGCTGAGGTCGATGCTATTACTATAATATGATCGCTAGATTTGCTGCTCCCTTGGATGAATCAACCGAGTGCAGTGTGCACCTTGCACATTCGCATTCATGTTTCTCTTTATTGTATTTACCATAACTTTGTCGGTGATTATTTTAAGCTACCCGGACATTGCGACGAAGAAAGCAAAATGGCTAGCAGCTACACACATGAGACCAAACATGGCTAGAAGTGTCTTCCCTTGCTATGATGAACCTGCTTATAAGGTGCCCATGGTAATTTCCGTCGCAAGGCCCAAACACATGATCGCCACATCAAATATGCCTGTGGAAAAAACAACAGAAGAGTAAGTTGGAATGTCTTTGTAGGCACAAATTTGGTAAAAAACGCTTAACTAAAAATGTAAAAAATTGGTTAACTCTGCACTTTCTACGCAACGTCGTCATCAGGTCATAAAGGATTAAGTTCAGCGCAATTTAAATCCTCTGAGAAAAAATTCAATTGCGAACATGTTCAATGGAAAAACTAAACAGATTAAGTCAGTCAAACAGGCCCATACAATTAGTCCTCAGACATTCTTTCCATACTCTACCGATAGTTACTGTCCATCTGGCAACGCTGTCCCTTTCCACATCTGTACGGCACCGCCTAGCGATTTATCGTGTGGATGGATTGGTCAGGCGGACCGGTCCGCCAGACAGTGAGCTTAGTTAGCAGGAGTACGCGAATCGAAAACATTTCTGTTATGTTTTAAAGGCAAATGGGCATGGTAATTTATGATGTCTGAAATAATGCTACTAGGTGCATACCGGGGTTGGGAGCGTATAAATATATTAAGATCCAAAAATGTTCATACGCCCTCCCCCACCCCTACAATCCCGGATCCTCAAATTTCAACCCCTATAAAATGTTTTCTGAAAAAAAACGAAGTTTGTGCGAATTAAATTTTTTTCGTTTTTTGCTTTTTTATCCACTGCTACTGGACCGATATTGAAAGACTACAAAACTTTTTCGTCCTTGGCTTAGTAGCAATAATGTGTGAAAATATCATCAAAACCCGGTCGGTACTTCCCAAGATGTAGAAGAGCCAAGGATTAGAGTACAGCCGGACAGACAGACCGACAGACCGATGGAAGTGAGTGACATGGTATTTTCCTCGCCCAGTGGTGTAGGTAGTAAAAACCTAAGCCTAGTTACGGAGATTACGGATGATTTGAATTAAGCAAAGTTAGTACCTCGATCTCCGTCTCAATTATCAGTACGGTCCAGGTTGGATAATAAGCCAAACCAGAGAAAAATAATCTCCATAGGTGATATGAAGATGATAGATATATAGCATATCTGCTATCATATTTCTATAAAAATAAAGAAAGTAAAGAAGTCAATACGTATTTGCGAAGTGTTTAGGAATTGGGGATGTGAACAACTTTTCTAAATGCGAGGAGACGACACTGTCACCTATGAGTAAGCCACCATTATACGCAGCGTTGCCAGACTTGTGAGAAATAATAGTGCAAGCCCATCGAAATTATCGTACACAATGGCATAGCGTGGACTAATCCGTTTTGAGGGGCGCAGTGGTGACCGCAGAATTCATGTTCAGGCAGACTTCCATCTCGGATGGGGGGGTTTGTTGGCGATAATTGAAGTGTGTGGGGGTAAGCAGTAATAGTACTTCAAGAATAGGCAATAATTAGTTACAAGTTACTATGCAAAACTTGCTTAAAACGCAGGCTGCAGAAGGATCTAAACATTTCCGTCTGTGGAACCAGAACCAACCTATTTAAATAACGGTTTTAATGAAAAATATTTATTTTATAGCCCCAGGTTAAAGGACTGGGTATGGGACACCTTCCAGAAGACTCCACCTATAGCCACATATTCCATCGGTGTCGTCATATCGGAATTGAGCAGCCTTAGTTATAACTTGACTGGAAAAGAAGGTATACAATACTTGCTACTTAGAAATGTCCACGGGCACTTGCAAGGGGAGGAGCGATCATCTGCAAGAGTTAACATTTTGTTAAAGTGTATCTACCCCCAAAACTTCTTAAAGAGCTGGGAGCTGGATATGGTAGGGGGATCCCAAAAATCCTCAAAATTGTTCACAATATCATGCTAAATACGAAAATTTTAGGGCCTGGCAACCACGGCCCCCTGCCTCCCCATGCGACGCTCATGGAAATGTTATCGGTCCGTTATATCGATAGATAGATAATTTTTTGATCATTTAAAAAATGATGTAGGATAGGTCATTGCTGATACATACATACAACTTACCTGTCTTTAGAGGGTTGTTTAAACTATATTTGTAATTAAACGAAACCTTTAATACGGTTTAGTTTTTAGTAAACGCAATATCCACAACTCCTGATTGATCTCAAGAAGGCTGATTCACGTAACATTTTTTCAAGTATGAGTAGTTTGAGGACACCCCACTTAACTATAACACAGGTCCACAAAAAAAGTGGTGTGTGCTGGGGTCCCACTATGTTTTTCCATGGATATAAAAGTATCTTCTACATCACGGTTATATATTTTGGTATCTAATACCATTTGTACCATTGCCATTGAATACTACTATTTCACATGAACATCCACCAAAAATAAAAAGATTATAATCGATGTCTTGAGACTCGTGTCCATCGCGAAACATAATATAACGAGACACACTTTTTTGTGGACCTAAGTAAATACCGGAACACTTAAAAAATCTATCAATCATGTACAAATAGTTGTGATCCAATAATATGCCATGAATAAAACATAATTTTATACTTGAAAATGAAAAATTGTTTACTGAAGTTACTAATTTAAAATATATTATTTGTTGATTTTAGAAGTTCCAGACATAAGCGTAACAATTTGGGCCAGGCCAGATTTCATAAATGCAATCAATGACAGTACGATCAAGATAGATAAGACATTGAAGATTCTTGCTGAGATTTGGGGAACCCCGTATCCTCTACCAAAAATAGACATATATGCTCTGCCCAACTATCAAGCTACCAAACCTGCAGATGCATGGGGATTGATTTTATTCAAGTATGTATTATTTAAGCTTTTACGAGTATATTATGATTTCTAATGTCACCTGGATAAATTTTGTGCTTGTTGTTATAAAAAGAAGTTGTCAACTCTGTCCTGTTTTACCACATAAAAGATTAAAACATTGACAAAAAAGCCTAAAAATACATTTCAACAATCTGAACGTATCTCTATGCATATTTCAATAATATGTACAATTGCAACTTTAATGGTCCATGCACAGGCAATGCCTCCTATGGGCCGTTACTTCATATTTGCCTACTCACTTTTTATATTGTGTTTTAGGAGTAAATAAATATTATTAATATTCAAATCGAATGGATACAAACATGTTGTGTTCAAAATGTATGAGTAGCTGCAACCGACAATATAAGTCAAAATTTAAAATGCTCAAAGTACAAAGTTTCGGTTAAGCAGGCAACAGTAAATGAAATCAGGACAAAAAGAACATGATTCTTTGTTTAAATCAAGCTTTCGAGAATGTCTGTTTTCAATATCAATGAAAAATTACTTACAACGTGAAGTCGTCTTGAAATCCGAGTAATAAAAAAAAGGAGGAAAACCATTAATTAACGTACAACATAAAAAATGTTCAGGTCACAAAATAAAATATTGATCAATTAGAACCCAAGGATTCCAAAACTATAAAATTATGTAATTTCTATGAACGACAAATCGATGTAGAAGCTAACAAATTGAATTTTGAGAAAGAAATTATATGAAAACGTAAATGCGTTTGAACAATCTAATGTTTTCAAAAGCGAGAGGAGAAAGTCAGACCGCGTAAGTACACATTGGGAGGTAGGCAGGTTGATGAGCATTTTTACGTACACTATTATTGGGCAAAACTGCTGTTGCTTGCAAATCCAATCAGGACTGAAATATTGGCTTAAAAAATGTAATAAATGAAGAAACCTAAAAAAGTTGATTGTGAGTGAAAATTGTGATCAACATTAACAGGGCCAAGACAACTCTCGATGTAGTCAATCAACTCAATCGATTACATTAAAAACCGCTCATACTTTATTGTTATCAACATACAGCGTGTTCGTATATCTTTTAGAAGCTGATTCCTTGTTAAACAATATGAAAAAAGCTTCTATAAGCATGGATCTGGAAATGCAGAGTTTTCAAGATACAGGGTGATAAATTCGCCTCTTAATACAACAAATAATATTGCTAAATTTTAACAAAATTGAGTAAATATATTTTAAGATATTAATAATTTTTTTTAATTTTTCACCCTGTAACAAGGGATCATCCTCTTAATTATCTCCGTCTATTTTTGAACACTCTGTGTAGTGTACTGTTGTTGAAAGGGTATATTTAAAAAAATGAAAAAATAAATGCGTGGTTTATTTTAGCGGTAAAAGACAACACTTAATTTCAACCGAAAGAGAAAACTCAGCTAATGAGACTAGTTAGCCTGAACAAAAATCCATAGATAATATTAGTGTCAACATATTATACTAAAAACTCCTTAATAACAAGTTATGTTTTATTGTTTTCAATATAGTGAGATTTGTGGATCAAGAAGTAATCGTTCAGAAGAAAGCTATTGATATGGAAGGTTGATTCTGACAGAAAAATAGAGACACCTTCAATTAAAATGAAAGAACGAGCTAATGACACTAGGTGATTGACTCATCCCATTCAAAACAACCCAGTAACATCATTACTGTTAACATATAGTGAAAACTTTTTAGAACAGAGTGATTTTAAAGGGACAAGCCCGGTGATTTACTCCAGTGTAAAAGTGAATAAAACTTTATTTTGAAGAGGCCAAGAAAAGTGACAAGGTGGTTGGCTCAGTCCGAGATAATAACAACGAAAAAAATCATCACATTCGTCTACTGATTTCATCTTTCTGAAAGAAAGTTTAGATCATCGTTGGACCTAAACTTATCTTCAGGTTCTGAAACAAGTTAAACTAAGACATAAATGGTCTAAGTTCAAAGCTCAAGCTGGATTTGGACTATGACCAAGAACTCCGATGACTTCTCGGTTTGACTGGCTTGCTATAAATAGTATCCAGTCGAATATCTTCTTTTTTATGCATTAAGTTTCATGTTATTTTTAGGGAGAGTGAGTTATCTGGTCGTGGTTCTTGGCATATAGCTCAAGAGTTAGTGTATCAATGGTTGGGTGCCCTAGCAACTCCATTTTGGTGGAGCGATGCTCACATCAATAATGCTTTGGTTCGATACGTTACAGCATACACAACCATACAGGTAACTGATTATTGAATGCTAAATGTATTGCTTTAATATATACTTTGAGACGTTTTTGAAGCAACAGATTTTGTGATTAACGATATTTAGGAAATGGTAGCAATTAAATTAGTGAAGTCGTTTTAATTTCCGGTTTTTCGACAACTTATTTGGAGGAGTACTAATACTTTTCATCTGAGTGTGAACAGATGACTGAAAAACAATCTTATCATTATTTTATCAAAACAGCATTTTTTATTGAATAAAAATTTATGTATTTTTTCTTCAATCGTTACTTGTTAACAAATCATACTTGATTAGAGCAGCTGATTACTTTTTTATCACCACTTTTTCTTCAAAAAATCTTTGGTTTTTTAATTTGCTGACTTGACAAAACCGTTGATAACATTGTTTTTAAGTACGACCTTAAATTGTGTTTGAAGTAACTAAATTACAATACCAAGCATCATTTTACAATTGCTGTGAACGCTAGGAAAACGATTTGAATCTTTCTTCCTGAATTACCTATTAGAAGTTTTAGATTCCGAAGTAAACTTACACATTTGATATTCTCCCATCAACGTTATGGCATTTTTAATACCTAAATAAAATTGATTGTTCATATACATTTTCTAAAAAAATCCAGTTTATTTTTCTTGTTTGGTGTGTTAAAAATATGTATTTGCAAGTCATATACATGACATCTCACTTGAATACCATATATTTTCAACCGAAGGGATCAACGTATAAAATTTTATTTTTACTGTGGATACCAATAGAACGAGGCCATATATTTCATGTAAAATTATCAGAAAATAAATGTTATTCCTAACATATATGTTGGAGGGCTGCAGAAGCATAATCACATTCTAAAAATAGGTCAAGGAAAAAACTTATTACGACACGATAGAAGTCATTTTGTTACAGATTTTGGTGTGAAATCTTATGTTTGAACAGTGGGGGACAAGTGTATTCACACAGTTTCTAGAAAAATTTGAAAACACTCAAAATGTATGCTTTAGAAATAAAATATTTGATATTCCGTCTGAATAAAATTTTGGAAAATATCTCATTGAGTGTTAAAAGCTTCCTTTCCATTACGTCTTAGATGCAAGAAAACGAGACGTTCTCCAATTGGCCGATGACAATGCTCTATTCCATATACTACGAATTTAGCAAACGATATCCACATGGTAAGAATACGGCTATCAAACAAGACTCAACATCAGCAAAGACAGAACTCGTATTCAGAATGCTCAACTATACTCTAGGAGAAGAAACCTTCAAACGAGGTTTGCAGAGATTCATGGCTGATAGGTAAGCCGAATTCGGATTTAGTTTATGCTCTGATGTAAGTACAATAGAAACATTAATAATTTATATTATCATATAACATTATTATATACAAATAATCCATCGCCCTTAAAAGGTCCGGATTATGTAGACAACTGAGCACTTACAAAGGGAGGAAGTTCTGACAACTAACGGCTTAGATACTTAAAATCCAACTCCAAGATTTTAGAGTCTGAAATAGAATAAAATAGAATTCTGACGGAAACAATAACTACTCTGGTATCCCTCCTTAGACTTCAGCAATCTCTATTTCTGTAAGAAATAACATTAGACAGCATCTCAGCCCAGTCTTGGGTGAGTTCATGTAGCTTCTCCCAAAAATTCGCTCTTATCCAGAAATTTAGTACAAAATATAGAAGTCTAACAATTTTTGGGTGTGTATTTCCATTTCTGGGAAAATCGGGAGATGTGATCACATTAGATAACAGTTTTGCTCAAAATTAAAACACAATCAAATAGCATATGACTTTATTTATTTGAAAATATTTTACGCTTTTTCGAGTTCATGATATTTTTCGCCAAAAAAAAAAAAATATGTTGATCTTCAGGTGAGTGTGGTTTTCGTTTGTAGACAGTACAAGACATTCTTCGGCGATGACATCTGGTTGTGCATCACCGAACAGGCACGATTTGACGAAAAGTTGCCAGTACCGATAACTGTGAATGAAATCGCAGCCTCTTGGATCACTAAGGATCGATTACCAGTACTCACAGTCACCAGGAATTATACCAGCAATACTGCAACGTTAACACAGGTAGATCAAACGACTGTCTATTGAAAAAATGATTCAAAAGTCAATCTAATACTGCATATATTTTTATTTCCCAGTTTTGTTGAACAATGCTAAATATTGTTTAACCTGACTTCAGAGTCCCTGGCGACAAGACGCCTAATATAAATTCGTATATGTATTTGTCAATCTTGTTACCCTTTCCGCATTTCCCTAACTTGGCTAATGAATGTTGAATATGAAATTATTGCTATATACATTAAAAAAACGTGCTGTGTCCTATTTCAGTCAAGCCATGCCACCAAAGAACTACCCTTAATTAATGAACCTCTTTGTGTCAAAAGCGATACAAGCGTCCTGGGTGTCACATAAATTAGCTGTCTTGAGTTTGATAAGAACATTGAGAGTATGGCTTCAAAACATCGTCAAGCATGTTATGCACCACGAGTGTTCACTTGTCATCTGCCCTTGCCAGCTGTGCGGACTGTCTACTGAGGGTTATACTATTATGTCTTATCAAATAACAATTTGGGGTAATATTTCAGCAGCCAATATAATATTTATCATACAAAAGAGGATAATAAGGAGCATGTTCAAAATGAAACCTAGAGAGTCATCTAGAAGTATATTCAAAGGCAACACATTATTAACATTGCCGGTAATTTATATCTATAACACTCTACTTTTTATCTTTAACTATAAAGAAAAGTTTGTAAAAAACGTCTTCAACCACAGTTACAATACTCGCAAAAGTCAAAAATACATATACCCATCACATAAGCTAATTCTACCGAAAAATGTCCTCATTAGTCAGCACTGCTTTACCTTAACATCTTCAATCCATTCGATCACTTCCTATATTCAAACAAGCATTCATAAATATATATGCGAAATGGAACCATACAGTATTGAAAAGTTCTATACTTAAGTGAAACCTTCTATGTGTGTTCTTCTATCTATGTTTGAATAGGTACTTAAAAAATGTAGGTAATGTAGGTATCTTATTTACATTGTACCACAATGACGTGTTATCTCAGTTGTAAATTTCTTGTTGCTTTTTATAACCGAGAAACCAATAAATTTCAATTTCGGTTTCTACTTTCTACAGTGCATTTTAAAGAGGAACTCCTCCCCACGTATTTTTTGAACGCGACAAGATAGCAACCTGAAGTTCGAGGTAATAAAATACAATATTTTAATATAAAAATAGCAGAAAACTTCGAAATAGTGGTTAGACCCCGTCATGGTAGTTTTTTTTTTAATGGAATGGGAGGGTCATTTTGAAGCTCCTTATCAATACCTGATAATTGATAAATTTACTGGCTATGATATGCGACATTCAACTTTTACGCTAATTTTTTTAAACAGAATGTCCTATATTTAAATATATTGCAACCCCCTCGTAACTAGAACTTTGTGAGATACCCTCGTATATTGGCGCTTAGGCATCGACGTCTATCAAGAAGAACCGATCCCTACCTAGACCACTTCGAGGAAGGTCGCGTTCTGTCTGAAAGGCTCTGGATTGGTCGATTTGAAAATAAATAATCCAGTTAACATGAACATAATTTTTTTTAAAAACTATGGTTATAAATTAGTGTGCGAATAATAAATAAGACTGTATATAGTAAAAACGGTGATGTCCTTACAGTATATTCGGATATACCTTTCTAAGAGAAGATTGACATAACATATAGGGATTCGAGAATTGGTTTTTAAGTTATAAGCACTTCAATGTACAAAAACGCTCAAATTTGACAGCCTGTCGGTCATTAGTTATTACGTACTTATGAGGAGTTCTAAAATGAGTATCACATAGTCTCCCATTCCATTTGAAAAATGGTGATTTAACAATGAACATGTGTATGTATCATATCACAACTTCATCACCCCAATTCTCAGTCTGGTAAATTGAGCAGTTCATAAAATATCTGGAGAGAACCTTTTTGGAAAGCACCGTTTATTGGCCACTCCTGGGCATTACACAGACCCTTTGTGAAAATCTCGGGCTTGGTAACTCAAGCCACTGATGAGTTATGGCTCTATAAAACATTAACATTACATTCTTTAGTTTTACCTACACCTATTGTATCCTTTTCAGCAAGTGTATCTGAGGGAACGACCACATGATGTGCCAGATCAAGACAAGTATCTTTGGTGGATACCAGTGGTTCTAGTGAGGCAAGATAAGCTAGACTTCCATAACTCGACACCTTTCATTTGGATGCGAAGCGAAAGAGAAATACAAATAGAGGGCTTACCTAGAAGCGATTCATTTGTCATAATTAATCCTGAAGAAATTGGTCAGTATAACAGTTCCAATTTATCAAAGCTAATTAATAACCTAACTATTATTGAAAATGGATCAGTAATCAGAAACCGCTCAATGTGTCATCTCTAATGAGTGGTATCACTACCAAATACTAAATTTTAACGTAAAAGTGACGGTGTAATATTTCAATATGGCGGCTTGACGCTAGCTTGGGACATTTTTCAAATGAAATGGAGTGTCATGTGATTCATTTCGAAGCTCCTTATAAGTACTTTATAACTATACAGTATAAATATCTGGCTAATTCAAATTGACGAATTGGCCACCTGTCAAAATTGAGCATTTTTATACATTATACCTCAACAACGAATCATCAAGACGTTAGATTATGTTATATCAATCTTCTTCCTTTGGAAGGGTCTATCTGGAAAAACAATGAAATATGGATCATTCTGTTTGAAAAAATTAAATATTTTAATATAATAACGATTATTCACAGTGCAAATTTCAGTAGCCTACAACTAGTAGGACCTCGATATTCATACTGTCAAAGCTTTTGTCTTGTGATATCACATGACATGTTGCATAATTCAAAATTTAAATCAATGATTCACGCGATCCCGTTGTTATAAGTTGAATGCTTCAGTTAAATATAAATCAGTTGTAAATTATTCTAATTTACTAAATAATCTTCATTGTTATTAGAAGAAGCCAGCATAGAATAAAACGGTATCAACTGAACAGTTTAAGTTTACGGTCCTCCGTCTATTGAGCATGATTCGATAGAAACCTGTACAGTCTAGTTTTAAATACGTTTGCTTAATTTCATTGCTTTGTAGTAGAAATAATTTGCGGTCTTGAACTCTACGCTTCACCGTACCTCCAGCCCATAATTTGTACATTGAAAACAAAAACATTGTTCAATCGGTTACTCGGGAGATATCGTAAGTTTAAGCCAAATAAATACTTTGATCAACATTTTAATGAATCTTTTGGCTCTAATCGAGATAATTGGCTACAATGCAACTGACTTGCTATTTTTTTAACATCTATACTAAGTGACATATAAATCCGAACACTCAGTTTAAATGGTTTTATTTTAATAAAAGTTGGTGAATGTATTTATCTTACTGTAAATAACAAGTGAAAAAATGTTCAGCCTTATCAGTTGGACATTCCGGTTTTTATACTGCTTTTTTTTAATTAATAATAATAATTAAAAATGAATATTTCAGCCGCAGTAAAGAATCAACGTTGGCGGATTTTGGTTCTTGACATCCTTTACGATCGGTTACGATGCCTAGAGTACGGAGACCTGTACGATTTCGTCAACTTAGTGAGTTTGATAGGGGCCGTATAGTGGGACTTCGGGAAGCTGGACTTTCTTTTCGGGCAATTGCAGTTAGAGCGCAAAGAAGTGTAGACACTGTGGTTAGGTGTTGTCAGGCATGGCTTCGAGAAGGCCGTACGCAAAGAGCAAAGAGCAAAGGGCACTGGACGCCGCCGTAGAACCGTGAAGATCGCCGCCTAAGATTATTGGCCTTATGTGACCGTTTCTCCACTACCAGGTCCATTGCAAATGAATGGTTTGCAGAACACGGAAGACCTATTGGCATGCGAAGTGTTTACCGACGAATGAGAAGTTTTGGCTTGTTTTCATACCGGCCACACTGGGTCCTCCCTTTAACTCGAGAACACCGACGTAATCGCCTTAAGTGGTGCAGACAACGGTCACTCTGGGATCAGGAATGGAACAGTATTGTCTTTAGTGACGAGTCTCGATTTTGTTTAGGCATGCACGATGGTCGTGCCAGGGTTAGAAGGCGACGTGGTGAAAGGAGGAATCCACAGTTTTTTGTTGAAAGACATGTTCATCACACTGTTGGAGTTATGGTTTGGGGTGCTATAGCTTATGGTTCCAGGTCACCTTTAATCTTCATCAGAGGTAACATGAACGCGCAGCGTTATATCCACGAAGTTCTAGAACCCCATCTTTTACCCTATCTTGACACCCTGGCAGATCCAACTTTCCAACAAGATAATGCCCGACCACAATGGACTTCTTTCAACATAATGATGTCACATTGTTACCATGGCCACCAAGATCTCCCGACTTATCCTCAATTGAGCACGTGTGGGATATGATGGGTAGGAGATTGCTCAATTTGCAACGTCCTCCTCAGACTCTAGAAGCACTTCGAGAGGAGTTGGTGGTTGCCTGGAATGAGATACCACAGGAGGACATTGACCACCTGATCAGAAGCATGCCTAGGCGCGTTGGAGCATGCGTAGCACATCAGGGTGCATCCACACATTATTAAAGGTCAAAGGGCTTTAAAGCAGTGCAATCATTTTGAAATTTTTATCATTTACTTATTATGCTTTATTAAGTACTTATACAAAATTTTATTAAAATAAAACCATTTAAACTGGGTGTTCGGATTTATATGTCACTTAGTATATATAGTAGAGTACTGTAGGATGCAAAAACACAAAAACCTGGAGCTCAAATCCAACTAATGAATTTTTTAGATCTTTAGTAGAAATGCGTTTAAATTAATGTGTATGAAAAAGTTTCGCTTCTGATTTTGAGCGCTTTTTGATTTTCTATTGTTTATTCATTTAAAAAATGCTTTTTCTATGTATACGAGTATTAAGGTTTATAATATACCAGCTAGTGGCCCTCATTAAACTAAGCAAAAGAGTTCATTCAGACTTACATATTTTACGGCGTCTATACTGAAATATAGGGTATTCAAGTAAGGTACTCGTATTAGAACTTTGTTACGGAAGAAATGAAGCACGAAATTCAAGTTTTGCAAAACAGCTGCACGAGATTCTGTTTCAAAGACATCAATTAACAGGAACGTATTACCGGCCATAATTTAAGAGTAACTGTTGTAAAATGCAAGTAGCGTGTATTGCTTCTACTGTATAAAGGTTCAAAATATAAATTGCCCAGTTATTTGTTTGCTCTATCCAGTTGATGTTGAATAAATGTTCATCAAACTAACTTTATAGGGAGAGGTGACGAATGGTTCCGCCAATCCTCTTCCCTTTTGAAATGATGTCCATTTTATACTTGCTATGTTTTTATATTCCAACAAAAGTTATTATTTCTTATAATTTATATATTTTTAATTTTTTCTGAATTACTTGAGTGATTCAGATGAACCTCTGTGAATCGACGATGTAGAATTTAAGAGCCCAATCTTTATATCGAAATTAATTACCCCAGGGGTGGCGGTATCAATTTTCAACAGGCTAAAAATATTTCTCCTGCTTGTAAACAAGCAGTTTGAGAGTTTGCTACTAGAAAAATTTATTAAATAATAATTTTCTCAGAATTAAACAGAAATAAAAGCATATTTGAAGCATATTTACTATACAAATACTCGAACATAATTGTTCTATTGTTTTTTATGAATTCCGATGAATAAAATTAGAGCGATCCAGGAACCTTCAAGTTTATTTCTATAGTTTCACAGTTCATTTTTGGAGCTACAGACTCTAAAATTGTTTATCAACCGGCAAGCGAACACTTTTGTTCTTTGTAATGCCCCTTGATCATGCTTACAAATAGACCAGTGGCGTGCTTATTTAAAATTCGACACACCTGCTTGAAATTTGATTCCACCTCCCCTGGGGTAATTCAGTTGGATATAACCAGTACAAATTGAGTCCTTTAATGAAAAGAGAAAAGAAAAGTACCAATATTAGAAGAAGTCAACTTGAAAATACTGTGTCTCGGTGAGGAAGCCGTAAAATACAAAAATTGTTATAAACTTTTTTGTACTGTATAATCAGTTCTATCTGGTATGATATAGCGTAGATAAATCATTAAATATGTATATCTAAATTTCATTCAGTGGACCTGGTTTTTTAGGTTAAAACCTGAGAGCACTCCACTAATATAGAACACGATTTAACATGTGCTTTTGAAGAGTGTCTGCTCTACGAATTACATTCATTCGTATTCGTTGACCAAGATAAAGTAAAAGTTTCTCTTTGTAGGTCCATTTCCAGTGAACTATGATGCGAAAAATTGGAATATGCTGTCGAACTTTCTCAACTCTCCGGATAGAACCCAAATTCCTGTGACTACGAGAGCCAAGTTACTTCATGATGCTTGGAATCTTGCTTTCGCAGGCAATCTGAGCTTTTCCATCGCTCTGGACATGACGCTTTTCTTAAAAGATGAACGGGATTATCTGGCCTGGGATCCCGTGTTCACACTTATTGACCATATTGGAAAGCACATCGATAGTTCTCCAACAATCCACAAAAAATTCCAGGTAGGCTAATTAAAAGGCTGGTTCACTCAGTTTCAGTGGAGTCCCGAAAGTAGTTTCTAAATATCAAAAGCACGAGTGATGTTGGCTTTAATCTGGGTAAGAAAAAGTAGATTGTATTTATGTTCAATGTGGAACAGAAGCAAGTCTGAGGATTAAATGAAACGATGTCTGCAGAGCTCCTGAATTGATATTGAGGGGAAAAAAGTAAAGCTCATTCATTATATGAACTGAATGAACTTACTGACATAAGCCAGGGAGTTACTCAACTGATTGCTGGTGTTGGAAAGGAATACTAATCAAACGGTGATGCTTAGAATATTTTGGTTCATTATCTTGCGAAGTTGTACAATAAACAATGTTCTAGGGAACGTTTTGGAGTTGTAAAAAATCTGAATGAGGCATAAAGAACGGTAGTTTCAGCATGCATCTCTTCAAATGCTTCAATGCTTTGTTCACCTCGAGGGATCCTAGAATCCTCCTGGCGGTAGTATATTTGAAGGTTACTCCAAGGTCTTGGCCTTGGAATCTATTGCAATATCAGATCATGTCAACGGAGAAAATGTGTCAACAGCCAAAGTTGACTTAGCCTTAGAAGACAATTCTATAGTTACGGATTATTTTGCCTGGATTAGATCTGCAACACAACTTTACTCAACTTTACACAAACAATATTGAATAGGTCTTGATCGCTATTATTTTTCAGAACTACGTACGATTGCTTTTAAGCCCATTATACGAAGAACTCGGCAGTGAACCAAAAGAAGGAGAAGGTGATGGTACGTCTCATCTCAGAAGTTCACTCAAAATATTTGTATGTCAAGCTGGGTATTCGCCTTGCATTGAGGAAGCACAAGCTGCTTACAGGAAATGGATGGAGGCCAAGAACCCCGATGAAGGCAATCCGTAAGTATAAACTTTAAACAAATTATCATTTATCTACATTGCCTTTCCTATTAGTAATGTCGTCCCAGGTTAAGAAATAGTTTCTTTTGGCTTATTTTTTGGGTTTAGGCACAAATGGTGTCCTTCAGATCGTACTTAAAGGAAATAAAGAATCAAATAACTATGGGAAACAAGGACGCAAGTCCTAAAGAAGCAGGTCATTGAATTACAAATCAGTCTCTATTTAATCCATTAAAAATACTTTTCCATTTTGAATCAGACAATGCGTGACAGAACGGTTCGTAGGTCTTGGCTCTTGGTTGAAAATCTGTTGGTAATATGCCAGGTCAATTTGTACGAGATAAAGAAAAACTAGTGAGAAATGGATGGTGCAAGATTAAATTTTAAGTTGTGTTGTTGAAAATAATACTTGATTTTTAAAAAAATTGCACAACTTTTTCGTTAGCTTCTATAATTATAAATACGAGACAAAAGTGAAAAGGGCTACCTAAAAGGTGCATAGGAAAACTCGCCTGTTTGTATGGTATCTGCCGCTGACAGAATTACTAAGCCTATTCCTATTTCGTCTTATGTCATCGAATAGATATCACATTGGAAGAAATACTTCATTTTTGTCTTGTCTGTACAACTTGCATACTCAAAATAACATACCCTGTAGAAATATTATTATTTATTGGTCGTTTTAATACATGTGTTACGTTATGTAATATGCAGCCAACAAATAATCGTCGATGTTGTGCATTAAATTATGTTGTTAGTTGCGTATTACACAGTGCATTCTAAAACTGCATATCAGTGCTACAATCGATACTATTTTTACATTCAATAGAGCATTACGTTCAATGGGGCACTACCACATAACTTACGTCATTAATGATTTCCGTCTCTATATCGTCTCTGTATTGGAGACAAACAGTGAGTTATCGAGTTGTATGATATGTTGTGAAGGTTCCTGAATGAAACAGAATAACTCGCAACGTGTTTCACTTGATGCGATACGTATCTTCCACCGAGACTAAGCCTACATAATGCTGAAGAGTTGCCAAATAGCACGAAACACCTGTCCATGGTTGGCCGCCTGTGGTCGGATGAACGAAAGCTATATTACTAGTTTGTTCAATGGCAAGTAGACTGTATCTACTATAGTACCAGAATCACAGTAGTGATCCGTACGAGTGTTATGTAAAAACCTATAAAACGTCAGCGTCCATCTATGGAGGAATCGCACAACTACACGTATTCACGCATTGTAGCTTGCATATGTTTTGTGAAGCCAAGTGGTCTATATTTTTCATCTCTGAGTCTCTGAGAAGAAAGTTGGTTATTTCTTGCGTAGCAAGATCGCATCCAGATGATTGTGTGTATTGGTCTGCACGTGTATAAAATCAGTGATATTTGCTGTGTGAGAAAATCATTATTGAATATGCTACCAATAAAGTATATCTATTAGCAGTGCCCGACGGATTATTTATATATTATCCTTTCGGAAGACAAGTTATTAATTACGATTTTATACGTTTTTTTTTGTATTTTCAAAAACTTTGAGGAGAATTACGAGAAATCACCACTGCGCCCGTGTTGTGTGTAATTACTGCAAGCACGTATATGACTTGTAATTCGACAGTATACAGTGAATATAATTATTTCTTATCTCTATTTTTTTCAACTTCCAAAATGAATAAGAAGAAGTAGGTGTGCAACTAATTTCTATGTCATCTCTTAAGCAGATTTTACATCACATCATAGCCAAACATTGATTACTGAACCCTCGTGACGTTTAGGCAACACGTACAATTACAAAACGAGTTTACAAAAGTGTCCATCAGATAGTGCTAAGTTAACATCTTGTCGAAAAACCTTCACAATGCCAAAAAATATAACGTCACTTTTCAAGATAGGTAATACCCGTGCAGGTCCGAATGCGAACTGTTTTCATAACAAAACGTAGGTATTTTGCACCTAGGCAGTTAAGAGTATTTGATCTAAACGTATCATGCCAACTGGGGGTAAAGTGCTTGGGGTGATAATCGGCAGGAAAATAACCTGGAAACCCCATGATCTGTCTGCCCGAAACAAGGCTGTCGGGATTTTTAAGTAACTATACCCCCTACTAAGAGGAGATAGTTGATAATCAACCTCAAATAAAATACTCTTATGCAAATCGGTTATCAGGCTTATAGTGGTGTATGCACGTGTGGCTTAGTGCATGTATTAGAGGTAATCTAACACAGAGCTCTTGGCTTAATCACGGGAGCACCAAGCTATGTTTCGAATTACATGTTACATTCATTCAGACTTTAATAGTCTTCCACTCAGTGAGTTTATCAAGGAACTTGCAACTAAGGCATGCACAAAAGCAGACATCCATTCTAACCCTCTGGTAATGGAGGCCGTCGATTACTCTGTAGCTGATGTTCAAAAACATAAACGTCAAAAAAGCCCTACAATAATAAATGCACCTACACCACCCACCACCTTTATTAATAGCTGTGTTTTGATTATGTACTAATCTGATTAGGTTATGTTTGCACTCCTTCTGCAAGGACCATTTCATTTGGAAAAACAAGCAAAAGACAAACGACTTTCTCGGGAAGTCATGTCAGGTCAAGTCAGGATCAGCAGACCCATTGCTGTTTGTAGTGCTTGATTCTTGTGATAGCACTCTGTGCTGTCCTATTTTTATAAAATCCAGTTGCCAAACTGACAATGCACATGACTCAAAAATGACATTATTTACCGAGGAGTTTTTTGCTTTCATTATTTACCTAGGGGCTGAAATGCTACTTCTGAATGAGGTCTTGAGGTTAATAATGGTGATTTCTCAGGTTAGCAGTGAAAAAACCATTTTCTTTGCAGTGTGGCAAACCAGTACATCTGCCCCGTATTCAAATGGGGCACGATGGAGGAATGGGAGTTCGGCCTACAGCGCGTTCTCAACTTTCCCTCGTTTAGGAAGCAGAATGAACGCACATACCTGTTGAAGACACTGGCTGGCTGCCCCAACGCACCTGAGAAGATCGAGAAGTTGCTTACTGTGACTGTTTTGGAGAAGAATGTGAACTTCAGCGACAACGACATATATCTGCTCTTCAGTATGATATCTACCAATGCTAATGGGTATAACACCACGTTTGAATTCCTGAAGAAAAACTGGAATGCTATTAAAAAGAGGTAAGTAGAGAAGCTATCAATGTCATTTGGAAAAGTCATAGAAATAATTATGAAGGAAACTCCCTACTAGACTGCTTTTATAAAATGTGGTCAATAGAGCTTAAGATAACTTCAATGCTACATCTACATGTGACAATATTTTCGCTTATAAGCTAACAACCTAAGCGTATAAACACCAGTGTCTTTCTATGTAGCGACATCAATAAAGAATTTCTGTTGCACTTTTTGTAAGAAAAAATTGCTTGGAGTAAATATGAGCAAATGGCAATTAGCGGTAGCATTTGACAGTTATGCGGATGCTAGCGAAATTAATCACTGTCTATATTTCTATAAAAAAATTGCATCTCCTCTCACTTATCACAAGCACGTGAAAATGATGATACAAAATGGTGATGACATCATGAGAAATCACGAGTTGAATGATATAGAAGTAACGTGAAAATGACCTCCTAATGTCACATACTGATAACGTTATATGGCAGACGTCAACACTACGTCACTTTCTGGACGTGAACATGACGTCTATTATTTATAATAAATAAATAGTCTCAGCTTCTTCAAAAAAATATATACTGTAGGTATGTTATCAGTAGTATTAGACACCATAGGCTATAAATTGTAACACTGGTTCGGAGCTACTCGCAGCAAAAAATCATTACTGCAGCGATCCGTAATTGTCCGCAATAATTTGTCATTTCAGATGAGATGATTATTTCTCTGCAAGCTGACTTGATCCAGTTTGAATCGGAAAGATGGATTCTAAAATAACGAAAACATCGTACATATGAAAATATGTGCAATTAAAAAAGATAACCCCAAGAGCACATCATAACAAAGTCTTACAGCACACGCACACAATTGGACATTTTGTAGACATCCTTACGTCGTCGATATTTGGAAAAATGACGTCAGTTGAGTCATCACCAAATTTCGACGTGCTTGTGCTAGCTGGACTATTGCTTATCAATAAAAACGTCCACGTGCACAAAGGGCTTTTGGGGCTTATTGTCGTATCTCCCTCTCCAGGATGTCGTGTGGTACTGTTATTTACAATTATTCCCGGACGAATTATAAACCTTAAACCATCTACTATCTTTCCACACACACATCACCTTGAAGGTTGCATATGCAAACGCACTTTTATCCTTATTGCTTCATTTCGTTATGCCCTCAGACGATAAATCAATACATGCTAAAATAATAGTAAACACAAACAACCTGACCTTTCCCGCTAATCTATAGATCTAAATAAATAAAATCTATACAGGGTGTTCATTTGAAAATTTTCCACCACAAATTTATCGAAAACCATTGATTATAAGAAAAAACGCCGAGACACGCCAAAAGATTTGTCAAGGAGAACAACTTTTCAACGGAAAACTACTTCACCCCCTTTCACTCTAGGCCCCCCAGGGTCATTCCCTTAAAAATTTTAAGCGACAAGGAGTATCGAGTAATAGCTTGTCTGAAAGCTCTTTCCAAGTGCTTTAATTTGACGTTTGATTTTTTAAATCAGTCGATTCGTTTTCGAGAAAATTAGAAAAACTTTTATGTATCTTAATTTGTTCAAATAGAAAACAAAAACTAACGTAAATATCACTTTTTATTTCAATAAGTGTCCAAAATCTTGCCCGTTAGGGTTTGCCAAATCTACAATTCGTTCATAATTTAAAACGGAAACTACCAATATAAACAATTCGGAAGATTAGACGTGGCAATAACCAAATAACAACCCAAATTTTTTTTCGCATTCTGTTCATGAACACAGATATCATGGGCGAACTGTATTTATTATTATACCTTTTTAGTTATCTGTTGCTAAGGTAAAGGAAGAATTTAATTTGCTCAGTTACCTTTGTGACAATCCTGGGACAGTGAAAATTAATTTATTGATTCAGATTTTACTTTGTTATGCTTTGTACACACAGTTACTAAGCTCCATTAATATCATCCATTCAAAATGAAAATATTGTAAGATTTAACCGAAGATGCATGTTCTTCCGGTTCGGAAATGGCTAGACGACGAGTTTCCAGACAGGTGGATAGGGCGAATAGTGCCTATAGAATGGCCTGCTAGATCTCCTGAGTTGACGCCAGTAGACTTTTTTTATGGGGCTGTTTGAAATCTAGTGTGTTTACTCCCCAAACTAAAAGTTTGGATGATCTCCGTAACAACGCATTCTCGAAAGTTGCCATTATACCCCACAACATGTTTTTGAAAATGTTCATAAGGAATTTGAATAGGTATCATTCTTTGGCTAATAACGGACAACATTTTGAGCACACGAATTGAAATAAAATGTAATATTTATATATAATTAAGATAAATAACGATTTATCCAATCTTCTTGAAAACGAAACGACCGATTTTAAAAAATCTAACGTCAAAATAAAGGACTTGGAAAGACTTCCCAAACAAGCTATCACTCGATACTCCTTGTCATTAAAAATTTTTAAGGTTATGACCCTGGGGCTGAGGTGAAAGGGGGTGAAGTAGTTTGTGGTTAAAAAGTTGCCCCCTTGAGAAATCTTTTGACGTGTCTCGGCGTTTTTTCTTTTATTCAGTCATTTTCGATAAATCCGTGGTGGGAAGTTTTCAAATGAACACCCTGTATGGAAATATTGTTGTTGTTACATTTTGCATCTGTAGTTTGTGAAACCTTGGAACCATATGACAAATAGGTTTTCGCTTGTCATTGGAAACTCGTTAACATATCAAATGTTGTCTACATCAAAAGTTGCAGTGACATTTATGATTTTTTATAGATGGATACTGTTGAATAACGTTCTAGCACTACAACTGTATTTAAAATTGTCACAAGTATGCCCACGACACACATAAGAGCCAACCTGAATATAACATTGTCTTCAATTTTGTTGTATCTTTTCTCCTAGTAAGGTCAGGTATTGATTGATGATAATTCGATTATATGAAATACACAATTTATTATTACAACATTGTATCACATTCATCATATTTAATGGTGTAACTTAGTTACTAGGCACCAATCGTATGATACAACATAAATGTTTTTATCTTCTTGCTGGATTGTCAAATTAGATAATCTAAATATCATTCGACCTTAAAGTCATTTTTGCATTTTTGACTCATTTAAAATATTGCAAGCGGTAAAGGAACTGAAAAATAAAACAGCTAAATAGAATAAAATTATCAATAGAATGTCCAACTACAAAATATCCACATACTGCCAACTTTTTCTAGTATTGTTCCTAGTATAAAATATAGGAAGATCATACAGGGCCTAACAAAAACGCCTTAGCCAACAATTCTGCATTGTTTAAGTTATAGCATTTTTCATCTGTTTTGTGACCATCCATTCCACGTTCATACAAGTAAGCATGCATGCTCGCACAGAAAAGAGATTAAATTATGTTGATAGTTTATGCAAGCTTTGCATGGTACGTCAATGCTGGTAGCACGGTGAGTACTTAGTACACACCTGAGTGATAATGGGATGTCTACGTTCGGTGTGGTAATGTCAGCTATGGTGTTTGCATTGTAATTATTCTAGCTTTCGATAGCCCAGGGGTTACATGGTGCCCAATGCATACATCGCCAAAAACCTGGCCAGAAAAGTTAACAAAAGAAATAAAATCTAATATTCTATTAAACAAAACCTGCTGTAGTTTTTTGCTAAGAGAGTGTATCAAATCAAGAAGAAAGAAAATGATCTTAAGAAGTAAAGTTCTGGTGAGGCTGTTGTTTCATCAATGACAGGTAGGGAAGCCAGTGTGAGCTTCCAAATAAATGTTATTGAAAAAAGAAGCTGCTTACAGGAAAATAGCTCGAAAATAGCAGATGGCTGTCTGTTCTACAAAAGTGGAGCTGTTAATGATATGTTTAAAGAACTGAACAGTTACTGTAGCAATCGATCAAGAGTTAACAAAATCATTCAGATAAAAAAGCAAGAAATCAAATAATGATTATTAAAAAGTCTGCTGAGCTTTTGTAATTTTCTCAACAGTCGCACATATTGTAGTTTGTAGATCCCTTAGTATAAACATCCATAATCTGAGTAGTAACTCATTCTGACTGATCTGTTCTTTACTGAAGTATCATGTACAACAACAGCACTAGGCTATCATAATTGAACTTTAACATTTCCATCAGCAAACATAATAATTTAAATGAACATGATATCGTCAATGCATATCAACATATAATTTAAGTAAAATTATCAAGGATGATAGAATTCGTGAAAAACTAACTAAAGTTGTAATTGATAAGTACACTAAGTGACATATAAATCCGAACACCCAGTTTAAATGGTTTTATTTTAATAAAAGTTGGTGAATGTATTTATATTACTGTAAATAACAAGTGAAAAAATGTTCAGCCTTATCAGTTGGACATTCCGGTTTTTATACTGTTTTTTTTAATTCACTAACGCTCTAAAAATGAATATTTCAGCCGCAGTAAAGAATCAACGTTGGCGGATTTTGGTTCTTGACATCCTTTACGATCGGTTACGATGCCTAGAGTACGGAGACCTGTACGATTTCGTCAACTTAGTGAGTTTGATAGGGGCCGTATAGTGGGACTTCGGGAAGCTGGACTTTCTTTTCGGGCAATTGCAGTTAGAGTGCAAAGAAGTGTAGACACTGTGGTTAGGTGTTGTCAGGCATGGCTTCGAGAAGGCCGTACGCAAAGAGCAAGGGGCACTGGACGCCGTCGTAGAACAACAGACCGTGAAGATCGCCGCCTAAGATTATTGGCCTTAAGGGACCGTTTCTCCTCTACCAGGTCCATTGCAAATGAATGGTTTGCAGAACACGGAAGACCTATTGGCATGCGAAGTGTTTACCGACGAATGAGAAGTTTTGGCTTGTTTTCATACCGGCCACACTGGGTCCTCCCTTTAACTCGAGAACACCGACGTAGTCGCCTTGAGTGGTGCAGACAACGGTCACTCTGGGATCAGGAATGGAACAGTATTGTCTTTAGTTACGAGTCTCGATTTTGTTTAGGCATGCACGAT